TAGACATTGGTCCCTACAGAGGGGAGGAGACTTATGCAAGCCGTGGACTGCCCATGGCTGGGCCTCAAGCCCAGTGCACAGGCGGCTTCTCTGCTGCACACTGTCCCTCTAGTAGCCCTTGTGGCTTGAAACCACACTGTGTTCCAGGTCCAGAGGCCACAGCAGTGAGCAGAGACAGGCCCAGGCCCACCCTAGTGGAGCCCACCAGTCGCATTCTGCACTCCAGGGAACCCACACCCCAGGGCTGCCCGGGCCTCTCCCGCCATCTATGGATTAGTGATAAATGACCAAGTGGCTTAGCTTGCCAGCCTGGTAGCAGTTGTCCTGGGCCTAGGGCAATCAAGTCTGCTGTCCATCCACCCCAAGTAATTCCTAAGGTTTTGCTTCGGCCTGTGGTACTTGTCCTGAGGAAGTATTCTTCGACGCCTTAAGATCAGAGACCGTGCAGTGGCAGCATACATGAGGGGTTGAATGACCCTTCCCACCCCCGTCTCCTCCTCTCCCACCTTCCTGGGACACGCCTGGGACGCCCTCTCAGCTCCCTGACAGGCAAGTGGTGACACCATTCTGGGTCTCAGCAAAACGCTGCACAGCCTGGAGAGGCCCATGCTAGTTACCTCTCCTTTTTTTTTTTTTTTTAAGTATCCTTACATCTTTTTTAAATAATTATTAATTTAATTCCATTTGTTATTATTTTTTAATTTGACCAGAGAGAGAGAAAGGAAAAGCGAGAAAACAAGCTGCCAGGTCCAGGACTCCAACCGGGTCCACCATGTGTGAGTCCAGTGCCTTTACCACCATGCCACCTGCTGGCCCCTCCTTTTTTTGTTTTATTTACTTTTTTTTAATAATTATTTTTCTTTAATTTTATTTATTTATTTGTATTTGACCAGAGACAGACAGAGTGAGAAAGAAAGACACAAAGAGAGAGAGAGTGAGAAAGCAAGCTGCCAGGTCTGGGACTCAAACTGTGGTCAGCCATGCAGGAGCCCCTCGCTCTTAAACCACCATGCCACCTGCTGGCACCCTCCTATTTTGTTTTAAACAGATTTATTGAGATATATGTACCATAAAATCAACCAATTTAAAGTGTACAATTCTAGTATATTCACAGTCGTGCAAATATCACATAATCTAATTTTAGAACATTTTCATCACCCCAAAAACCTCCTTCCTATTAGCCAACATGACCCATTCTCAACCCTAGGCAACCACTAATCTACTTTTTTGTCAGCATAGATCAGTCTAATCTGGGGGCTAGCAGGTGACGTGGTTAAGGTGCTGGACTCCCAAATGGCTGATTGTAGCTTCAGTCCCGGACCAGGCGGCTTGAAACTCATGCCAGGTGCATGTGCATGCATGCCCAAAACCCCAAGAGGAGAATGAAAGAGAAGGGCCATTCCCCCAGGGGGTGATTTCTCGCTTTTTGTCCCTGTCTCTCTGGCAAGTACGCACTCCCTAATAGCAAAAGTCTCTCAAAAAACAAACAAGATCAGCCTATTTGGGATGTTTCATATAAATAGAATCATACTTCTGTTAAATTTATTCCTTAGTATCATTTTTTAATGTATCATAAATGAAATTGTACCAATTTCATTTTAGGATTATTCATTGCTATTTATAGAAATATAGCTAGTTTTGGGGGACCAGCAGATGGCATAATGGTTACGTTACTGGACTCCCATGTAGTCACCCACAGTTCAAGTCCCAGACCTGGCAGCTTAAAACTCAAAACTGGACACATGTGCGTGTGTGTCCAAAATTCTAAGAGGAGAATGGAAGAGAAGAGGTTGTGGTGTGGCCATCCCCTGGGGGATGATTTCTCACTGTATATCTATCTGTCTCTCTGTCTCTTTGGCAAGCATACACGCCCTATAGCAAAAATCTCTCTCTTAAAAACAATACAGCTGATTTTTGTATATTGATCTAATATCCTGTAATGTTGCTTAGCTTGTTTATTATAATCGTTTTTTGTAGAGTCTTCCTTGGGATTAGCTATGTGCCAGGTCTTCTTATCCACACTGTGAGGTATTTTCACTTTTTTCCAACCCAAATGCCTTTTATTTTTCTTGCCTAATTGCCGTGGCTAGAGTTTCTAGTATAATATTGAACAGGAGTGATGAGTGCTGACATCTTTGTTTTGTTCCTGATCTTAAGGGGGAAACCTTGTGGTTTTCACAGTTAAGATGAGGTAAGCTAGGAGAAAGCGAACAAGGGACCCTGACCCACCAGGTCCAGAAAGAGAGGTGGGAAGGGGCTAGATGGTGGCACAGCCATCCTGCAGTGCTCTGCAAGGCTAACCCACATGAGAGGGGTCTGGGTTTGCATCCAAAGATTCCTTGAACATGCTGAGTGCATGCCCACAATCCAGGGCTGGCTGAAGATGGGAGTGGGTCACAGCATGAGAACCCTGTTGAGGGTGTCTGCCTCTCTGTCTCTCACTCATAGAAATCATAAACATGAAAGAAAGAAGGCAGGCTTACACACCTGTGGCTACAGCCGGACGTGAGCAGGGGCCCCATCTGGCAGAAATTTGTAACGCACCACAATAGGTTTGATCCTTTTCCAAGAGCAAAGAGAAGACGTTAGGATTTGCAGGTGGAGGGTTGGCTGAACTCAGGGAAGCTGACCTAGCACCAAGGCCAAGAGTCTGGAAAGGAAGCAACCTTCGGGAAAGAGACGGAGGGGGGGCAGAGCTGGCTCAGTCAAAGTCCAAGGCAGATGGGGCACAGAGGAAGGGCAGGCCTTCTGCCCAGCGGCAGTGCGATAGTCTGAACGCTCAAGGGGTCATGCTTCTTGTCTTCCCACTAAGAAGTCTAACCACCTCCCCTGGGGAGGGTGCCACGAACAAGAAGGGCTTGCACCCAGTCTCTAACACCGCTGGGCTACAGAGGCCCTATTGATTGTACTCATCATAGTAGATTTTTTCCTTCTGGACAGAGAAGCCAGATTTCTGTCTAAGAGTATTTAGGGGCAGGGAGGAGGTAAGAGCGAGCACGCATGCATCCAGGTGCACCCCAAGCCTGATCCATGGAGCCGCCAGGCTGGAGGCTTCCTTCCTCCCTGGTGTGCTAAGGCCCACCTCCTCCCTTGCATTCCTTATTGCTGGGGGATCAGATGGCTTCTGGCATCCAGTCTAATGGCTCTTAGGAACCAAATGCTGGCACATCCCCAGTCTACGGGGTGTGTAACTCAAAGCTGCTTGCCTGGCCAGCTCTCAGAGAGCAAGCACTTCCGCAGCGGGAGTGGGGATTTCCAACAGGCACGAGGTAGGAACTGATGGCCTTCCTCCAGGACCCAAGTGCTGCGTGTGCATGTGTCCACGTGTTGGTCTGAGGGCAGCAGAGCCTGGATATCCTTGGGTTTTTGTTCCCTCCCACGTGGGGTGAGGATAGGACCCAGTCTCGGGAGCCCCGCTCCAGCTGAGAACGGCCCTACACCAGCTGCAAACCACACCCTCGGGATCCCGCTTAAACACGAGTACCCAGTGAGCATCTGTCATCACAGGGCCTCCAGGACAGCGAGCTGCGGCCTCTGAAACCACAGCTCGAAACTGCGTGATGGTTCTGTCCAGAACTCCACCAAGGGAAGACCCTCTCCTTTCCTGCTTCCTCCTGCAGATGCTACCAGACATGTCCAAACCTATTCAGTCCCGCAGTTCATTTCCAGCCCAACCTTTCAGAAGAAATCTTGTTTCTTTTGTAAGCGAGTGGATGAATGTAGGCTTTACTTTGGTTTCTCCTTATGCAAAGTGGGGAAGGGATTTTGTTGTCATCATTGTGTATTTTTATTTCATGAGAGAAGGAGAGAGAGAGAGACAGGCACCCTCAACAGGGCCTTCCTGCCATCATCCAGGAAGGTCCCAGGACATAAACGCAGGACCTTCCCCATGTGGGTCCAGTTGCAATACCACTGTGCCACCACCACGGCCGACTGGGCAGTCTGAGTCCTAGATTTGATAGCTTGAAAATCACACTGGGTGCGGCCAGCGAGTGGCGTGGTGGTTAAGGGCACTGGAATCCCACATGGCTGACTGTGGTTCAAGTCCCAGACCTGGAGGCTTGCTTTTTCACTTTCCTTCTCTCTCTCTATCTCTCTGGAAATATTTTTTTAATAAGAAATAAAGTTAAATAAAATAATATTTTTTTTAAAAAAGAAAGAAAAGATAATCAATCACACTGGGTACATGCGCCTATGTGCCCAATCTCCCAAGAGGAAAATGGAGTGGGAGGGCTTGCGGTGTTGCCATGCCCCTCCCCGGGGGTGGCGGGTGTGATGGCTTCTCACTTTCTCGCTCTCTGGCAGCGCACATGACCTATAGCAAACTTAAAAAAAAAAAGGCTAGGAGGCCGCGTTACGTTTCCAGCCCTGAATTTTGATGATTGTGACTGGAGGGAAGGGGAGGTTTCCCAGAGATGCGGCTTACCCTGTGCAAACACTGAACAACTAACTGTCTTGCCCAAACGCCGATTGTGCTGCTGTTGAGAAACCGCTCTGGAAAAATGCCTTTCCAGGTCTGCTCACAGCAGCGTGTGTCTGTCATAGCAAACACGGACGTGTCCACAGTGGCCCGGGCGGACTAAGGTGGACGACCCGCAGTTCTGCTCACCCACAGGGAGCATCTCGACCGTGCTGAGTGAGCAAGAGCAGGCTGCAGGTGTCCCGTGCCGTAATAAAACGGACTGTGCTGCCTACGGGTCTCTGCCTCATGGAGAAACTGGAAGACAGGCAGGACTGTCCGTGCGAAATGCAGGGCGGTGGTGAATTCCCGGGGGGAGTGCAGTTCAGGCGAAACACCAGCTAACGTTCAGGAACGTGCTTTTGCGGCATCCTTGCCAGGGAGGGAGTGCTTATTCTCAGGGAGGTTTGCGGAGTATACCCTGACCTGTGGAGCTTCTGTGGGCAGAGCGGGGGTTGAACCCCACCGACCAGTGCCCTCCCACACGGTGCTGCTGCCTCCGGTTGGTCCCCCCTTCTCATCTGCCCCCTTCTCTCCACAGTGTCCGGAGACAAACGACCAGCCGGCCTCCCCCAGCAGGGGGCAGACCCAAGCCCCAGCCCAAGCCCAAGCCTCAGGTGCCACAGTGCAAGGCTCTGTACGCCTACGACGCTCAGGACACGGACGAACTCAGCTTCAATGCCAATGACGTTATCGATATCATCAAAGAAGGTCAGTGCACAGTCGGCTGGCCAGCCTCCCGACGAGCGTGCAGTTTCATTGCCATAAGAAGTAGCTCGTGGGGGACCAGCAGATGGCGTAATGGTTATGTCGCTAGACTCCCACATGGCTGACCGCAGTTCAAGTCCTGGACCCAGTAGCTTAAAACTCACTCTGAGCACATGTACATGTGTGCCCAAAATCCCAAGAGGAGAATGGAGAAAAAGAGACTATGGCATAGTCATCTCCCCTGGGGGGAAGGGGGCGATTTCTCGCTTTCTGCCTCTCTGCTCCAGTGAGTGCACATGCCCTGTAGGAAAAATCTCTTAAAAAGAAAATAAAGTAGCTCGTGGGCCAGCTAGGTAGCATGGTGGTTAGGACAGCTGGATCTCACGTGACCAACTGCATGGTTTGAGTCCCAGATCCAGCAGCTTGAAAACACACCCGGTGTGTGTGCCCAAAGTCCCAAGAAGAGAATGGTGGAGACGTGATTTTGGCATGGTCGTCTGCCCTCAGGGGACTTCCCTGCCTGTCTCCCACAAGTGCGTGTGCTCTATGGCAAATTTTAAAAATAAATAAATGAAAACTAGCTCTAATATAAAGAGAACTTATGGGCTTCTCTAAAACTCGTGAAGGCAAACCAGGCTTCAGTCTCAGGTTGTTCAAGACTTCCCCTTGTTAGCTCTGCCCTCTTCTTTCTATCTGCTCCCTTCTCAAGCTGGTTTTTTCATGGTAGCAAAGAGGCAGTGGTAATTCCAGGCCAACATCAATCATGTCTGCAATCTACCTCATCTCTGAAACTTCTCAGCCATTGGACAAAGTCCTAACTTCCTCTCTGACTGGACCAAATTAGTCATGTGCCCCTCCGCAGTCAGCTGCGTGGGAAGACGGCTATTACCGGAGTGGGTTAGATGTGGCAGGGACTGCTCTCGAGAGACGGTGAGGTTTAGCCCAACCTAACTTTACGGCTTCTTCATAATGAATGATGGAAGCCAGGGATATATCCATTATAAACCATCTGTCACAAAGTGAGCCATGGGATTGACCGATATGAAAAGAAGAATATGAACGCGTATATTTATATAAAATCACACACAAGTGCCGATGGAAACAGCAAAACTAAGGTAAAGGGCTGGCTCTGTGCCGTCGGTGTTCAGGGAGCAGATCCTGCACGGCCTGCCGCAGTTGGAATCCTGAGTCCAGCAGCCTGAGAAACGTGCTGAGCACGTGTGTGTGTTTGTGTGTGGGGGGGGGTGTGTGTGCACGCGTGCCCAGAATCCTGACAGGATGGAGAAATGGAGGCAGACTGCAGTGTGACCACACCCCACTGGAGGGCACTTTTCCTCTGTCACTGGCAAATGCCAGAGACACACCCTCTGGCAATTAAATTTAAAAACAAAAACAAAACTCCTGACTGAGTATGTCAGAAAAACAT